ACAGAAATAGAGACAGAGAAAAGGGGGAGGGAGGCAGAAGAGAGGAATGCAACCCTCATGTTGGCTTGCTCTTGTATGCTTTCATAGCTCTATGGGCTTCTGAGAATGATTTCAGAGAGGGCCAATAATGACAGAGCTGGCTATGCTTTGAGTATCTCTACTCTTCTGTGCTCTTCTGGTATAGCATTCTCTGAGGCATGCAGTCCCAAAGGCTGGGGAAGAGCCTTGTTTAAAATTCTGCATGACTGTTTTATTGATTTCTAGTTGATGGGATTCCCGCCTAATGAATGAATGATCCACATGACAAAGGAGCTTATTCTACATCTTCATTCTATTTCTTGAAAGGCTACAAAGCAAGTCAACCTATAACAAGCCCTGAGAAATACTGCTGGGAAGGTATTTATTTACTGAGTTATTTAAACAAACTGGGCGGGCAATATGCCTACAATCATGTTTAAAATAGATCCTATAAATGGCAACTTTTGGCCTAAGTAACCCATTTGATCAGTGCACTAATCAAATTCAGCCATAGCTGTATGTGTGGCCCTTGCCCTGGACTTCTGCCCCCTTTCTTCTTAAACAGTGCTTATTAACATCTTGAGTCTTGTATCCTGTGGAGGACAATTTAGGCAACATCAAATGAAGCCAGTACCTCACTCATGATTTCACACTATCTTACAGTATCAGGCAAAAAGCCTGAGTGGAGTTGACTTGTACCAATGTACTAATCCATTAATCCTGCCTGGAACCACAAAATCCTTTTGTAAGATGGCTTCCTGAGATAAGGGCACAGCTTGTGGCAGACAGAGAGTGAGGTAATCAGTTTAGGAGAATCCCATCCGCACTGCCTGTCCCTCATTGCAGCACTGTAAGCCACTGGCTGGCTTCTGCCTTTGATCTAAGTCCATCCCCTATTGTCACATGGTTCTGGTAAGGCACCATGGTCCCATTAGTGTTTGAAAGGGCACTGAGAAACAGCACATAACAAGCAAATACTGAAAGAAAGCTGGTGTCTCAGACAATCTCCTGGTCCTGTTTCCTGTCTCTGAGTAGTTAGTATCACCTTACAAATCCTCAGTGTTTGGGTGGGATATTCACAGGCACCCAGTCACAAGTTGTACTGTCTGTTGGAATCACCCAGTGTTCAGCTCATTACGGTTGCTGGGATGAAAATACTCTGACCAAAAGGCGAAGTCTTTATTTAGCTCATGCATCTAGGTTGCCGTCCATCTTAGGGAGGGAAGCAGGAACCATGGAAGATGCTGCTGGCTCACCCACATGCTCATGCTCACCTAGCTTTCTTACACGGTCAAGGACCACTGCTCTCAGCAGGCTGGGACCCCCCCCCCCATACCAGTTAGCAGGTAAGACAACACCCACTCCCACACTTCTCTCAGGGAGTTGGATCTAGGTAATCCTTAGTCGAGGTTTTCCTCTCAGATGAGTCTAGGCTGTGTCAAGTTTACAATTAAAGCTAACTTTCTTAAGATGTTTTGGCTAATATGTAAAAATGCCACATGTTATTTGTGCATAATAATGGGATTCAATGAGATACTTCAATACAAACACACAACAGAGCACTCATCAAATCCAGCCCCCCTCTACCCACCTTCTTCAAGGCCTTTGCCCTTCTGGGAAGCTTTAAATCCAAAGCCTGCTCTGCCTCTCCTTCCAGGCAATAGGAACCCTGACTAAGACACTCTCTAAGAGAAGCTGGGCTCACTTTTCTGCTGTCTTCATTTCCTAAGTAACAACTGAGGCCTTAACAATTTAAGGATCAAAATCCCGGCCACCATGGTCATGCCACGTTCCAAGTCAGTGTCACTCCTTTGAATCTGAGCTTGGCATCTCAGACTAGTGTCTCCAATTGTGAAACTGAGTGAGGCCTGGGGAGAACTGAACACGGACCTTGGCGTCTGTGGGAGAAACAAGAAAGCTTACTTCAGCATGGCCTCCCGCCCCTCCCATCAATGCTGCTTCTGTCTGGAGACTGTGACAGCTTTGCATTTTATTTACAGGAAGACAAATTATGAGAGGCCACACAGCTTGTCTTCTGGCTTATGTCAACTATTTATCTCTTGTTGTTTTCAACAGACTAGTCTTCCCCATGCGTTTTGAGACTCTCTTAACCATTTTGAACAGGGTACACTATGACCCAGGCTCCCCAGAAGCTTCAGATTTGTTAACCAGGAATTTAAAGGAAAACCAAGGATGAAAGGGGATTCTCAATCCCCTAAATATCAACTCCAAGTGTGTGTGTGTGTGTGTGTGTGTGTTTCTCCACTGTCTGGTACTTTGTGGGGAGCACAAATTCTAACAGCTCTATAAACATGCATGGTAAGTTGAGTTGTCTTTCACTGAAGGTAGACAGGCAAGATCTGGGTAGCCACTTAGATGCCCTCTGTTTGAGGGCACTTAGAATGGATGACCTTAAAATTTGAGCACCTATGGCTGGTCTTAGAAGAAAAAATAAGATGCCTTAAATTTTACTTTAAAGTAAGCCCAAGTATCTCTTTCTAGGTTAGAGGACAATTTGAGCATGATTTGTTTTGTAGCCTCAAAAAACTATATTGATATTGTATTTTAAAATGCCTTGTTGTGGAGCATTACCATGAAACTCAGTGGAGAATCCTGTAAGACCTGGATCACAAAGGTTTGACAAAAGATGAATTTTGATTTTGTCTTAGGGTTTCTATTGCTGTGGAGAGACACCATGACCATGGCAACTCTTATAAAGGGAACCATTCCATTGTGGCTGGCTTACTGTTCAGAGGTTTAGTCCATTATCATTAGGACAAGATGGGTTGGTGGCATGCAGGCAGACAGGGCTGGAGAGGTAGCTGAGAGGCCTACATCTGGATCTGCAGGCAGCAGAAAGAGAATGAGACTCTAGGCCTTGCTTGAGTTTCTGAGACCTCAAAGCCCCGCCTTCCCTAGTGATGCAATTCCTCCAAGGCCACACCTATCAGTAGTGCCAGTCCGGATGGACTTACGGGTCCAACTTCATTCAAACTACCATAGTCTTTTTCTTTCTAATATGAACAAATCTCCAGAGTGCTCTCATTTGTAGGAGTTTTGAATAAAGTTGTTGAACTTATGAATAATTTATTTTGTAAAACCATCAGATTTTAAAGTTTCTGTTAATGATATATTCAAGTTCAATGATAGTTCCTTGATTGGGAGAACAGAAGGTGTACAGGTGTGGTACCTCCTTTAGAGGTGGAAGGTCTACTCAAGTCAGCAAACCACAGCTCATTTCTGTTGCAGCTGTCAGACTTGGCACCGCTTCTCATGCTGGAGATGTGGTGGTACTCAGTGTGGTCCATGTAATCAAGAGCATAATCATTCTTTGGAGTTATTTGTAGAAGCAAATTCTCAGATTCTCCAAACAGATCTACTGAGTTGGAACATCTGAGAGTCAGGCATAGCCAGTCTCTGCAGGGGATTCTAGGACTTCTTAGAGTTGGGAAGCACTGACCCTAGACCAAGAGTTTTGAGTGTGGTTCCCAGTGGCTCTAACATCTCCTGGGAACTTACTGAAGATCATCTGCATGCTTTCATGGGGCTTTGGCAGGTGAGGGCTAAAATGTTCTACAACTCTTTTAAATACTTAAAGGCCATAGAGACAGAAAAACAGTAATAAATAATACATCCGTTGGGTGGAGGAGTGAGGGCTCAGCCTGTAAAGTTCTTGCTATGCAAGCTTAAAGACTTGAATTTTATCTCTGGTGTCTGCCTGCTTGAACAGGCTCTCCAGTTAGGTAGGCCTGTGAGGCTGTGAACCATTGGCCATGGTTCCCACCAAATCTTCCATGTTCATGGGGTATTATGACTTTCTGATTTAAGCCTGAACTTGGGCCCTCTCTAGGTAAATCTTGGCAGTTGCCTGGCCATCTCTGCCACTTCTGGCCCCAGCTGCAGATTGAGAAGCACAAGTCAGGGGGTAAGACCTTGCCATACTTAAAGGAACCAGATCATACCTGGAGGCTTCAGGGGTCTGCTCAGGACTCAGACTGTAAAACCAGAGGATCTGAAGGCAGGACCCTGAAGAACCACTCATGGCAACCTAAGGAGCTGGAGCAAGGCCACACTAGCAGGTGTTAGGACTCGCCCAGTTCTCTTGTGAGGGACAGACTTAGATCCTTAGGGTAGCTACTGATCACATGTCAGATCCCTGGCTTTCTCATTGTCCCAAAGCCATTTGGATCTGTGATATAAAGAAAACTGTAGCAATAAGAGAACCGGAGCAGAAGAATCCAGGAGGAGTTGGGGGATGGGAAGAGGGGCCTGTGCTTGAGCTGCTAGAAAACACAACATGTTTAGCAGACTCCATGGATACTGCTTGCTGTTCTTCAGCCATGGTCATGTGAAGGTCTACACTGCAAGATCTTGGCATTTACCTTGAGGATACAATGGAGGGGGGGCAGGGAGAGGTGACATCCAAGTCTGTACTTGGAGCTTCTGTAAGTCTGTCTCAATGAGAGGTGGTGGTGTCACGCATCTTCTTCAGGCAGTGGAATACATGACCATTGCAGGGATTTGGAGCCCTTCTTCAGCACATTCTTTACTGACAGATCTGTCCCCAGACAAACTCCAGCTTCTCAATGTCCACAAGGCAACATAGCTGTCTACAATAGTTCCTGTTCCCCAGGGGATGTGTCCCAAGACACCCATGAATTCCTAAAACAGCGGATAGCACTACACTCTGTATCTACTTTTTTTTCTCCTATGTATGAATATCCAAGATGGAGTTGGATCTAAAGTTAAGCTCACTGAAATTAGCAATAATAACTAATAATATGGCATGGTATTATAAAAGCATTAATGAATTATTTATTTCTGGAATGTTTTTCTTTATTTTTTCAGGTAACTGGAATCATGGAAAGTAACACAAGGGCTTAGGAGCTACCTCTCTTGATTACCAGTTACCGTGTTTGTCTGAACTCAGGTTAGAGATGGCAAGATGAATTTGTTTAATTCTTCTGCCTCATAAACTCCCACTGAAATGACCTAAGGCTATAAAACCAGGGAAAGGCTTCACTACCAGAGAAAACGGGGCAGTGCCAGATGCAGAGGAGGTGCTTGGTACACAGGTGCCAGCGGGATGAGAGAAGGGCCTGCCATGCCCCTAACTCGATACCTGCAAAGGGCCAAGCAAATGGGCAGGTAGAATTCTCACCAAGCTTCTCACTGTGGTCTCAGATGTCAGAACTTCTGAGCAGCAGCCACGGGAAGGAATGTGTCCAGCTCAGACTCACTGTTTGTGTGCTGTACAAGCTTACCAGCTGCGATACTCTCTGTTGAATAGAGAGAATGCCTACATCATAAGATGCCATGAAGACTTGAGACACGGTGCACATCTAGAGACATAGCTGGAAGGTAGTAGCTGTTCTTTAACAATTACTGCCTGTCAGAGACTGCTAAGGTTTTGGAATAAACAGATTGCTAATCTTCAAGGAAGCTTTTGGAAAATAGACTCATTCTAAGAAGGCAATGCCTCTAACAAGGCACCTGGAGTTCAGAAAGGGCGAGACACTTGTCTAAGGTTCATTCTCTTTTCAGTATAGTAGGACCGTGCTCCAAGTCGTAAACCTACTTTGCTAATGTTTCTGGTTTGGTTTTTGCTGTTGTTGTTGTTTTTGTTTATCTTGTTTTGTTTTGCTTTGACAGTGTCTCACATAGCTCAGGGAAGCCTCCAACTTCTGATTTTCCTCTCTCAACTAAGTTATACGTTTAAGCCGCCACCCTCAGCTAACACTTCTCTTTTTAGCAGTGCTGGGTCTCAAACATGGGCCTCATGCATTACACCAGTGAACGCTAGTCCTCTAAGCTATATTTTTCCAAGATGTAACATATTGTTAACACTATGCATGCAGGTAGTTACAAATCCTTGAACACAATCAATGGTACATCCAAAACCCTTAAAAAGTTGCCACTGTCTTTTACATAGTACAGTATAATAGCCAGTCATACAGCTTTGGTTGTGTAATATTTTTGTTATGTAGAGGTGATTTTGAAGCACAAAGGAGGATATACTTTACTTAAAAATAATTAAAAACAGCTTATGTAGCTCAGGCTGCCCTCAAACTTGTAATCCACATGCCTCAGCCTCCTGAGTTATTATATATTACATGTATGAGCCTCCATGTCCAGCATACCTTTCAATAAGAAGCTTAAGCATGAATAGAGTTTGGTGACTGTAGAAGCCCCTGGCATGAGCCTCCTGTGAATACTAAGAATCACTATGTTACAGTCCCTCAACAACTTTCTAAGCAATTCGTTGAGGACAATAAAGTTTGAACCTTAAGCCAATAATTGGATAAAAACATTTGAAAGTGAGCCTGCTCAATTCCAATTCTGTCTGTCTGTCTGTCTGTCTGTCTGTCTGTCTCTCTCTCTCTCTCTCTCTCTCTCTCTCTTTCTCTCTAGTAGTATTCTGCTGCTCTTTAATTGATATAGTCTGTAGAATATCATTCTGTTTATTATCTTTGGATTGGATTTTACTCCCATTAGATAGTGGGGAAAGAGTTCAATCTGTGGTCCCAGCCCCCTGCATTCTTTGATGCTGTGGATTACTGAGCATGCGAACACTTCTAAACCACTGCATTTCTCTTCCAGCAAGACTCACGGAAAACATTGGACTCCCTCTGACGCTGCTTGAAACACACAAGCCTTGGCCGGCCTATGTCACATTTATCTCCCCGGAAGTAGCCCGACTCACGGAAAAAAGCTGGGCCAGGGATCTGGAGTGCATTTATGCTGCTGAGAAAAACCGCAAGCCAATAAGGTCAAGCGAACCTAGTGCCATGCAGCTGAAGAGGAGGAAGTCATCTAAGCCCTCAGAACTCATGCTGAAAGATGCTCTGTCAGAGACCTTGCTACCTGCGTGGGAATGCTCCACCACAAATGTGAGTCCCATATTTATCCCAGAATCTGCACAATTCCAAATGGAAGCCAGAGAGGGGCCCACACAAAACTACAACAAGATCATTTTCTCTAGGAGGCCTGCGATGAGGAAACTCCCATTTGGCGTACTACAGGCCAGCAAGGAAACATATACCAACGTTTAGCAAAGAGCCCTGTAGCCATCACCTGAGAATGTACAACAGTTACTCTCCATTTGCTACAAATTACATCATGTCCTTGAAACTTGAGGTCGTTCTTTTTTATACATAGGTTGTCAGACAGAGACCTTATCAGAAAGTGGTCTAGGGGTACTTGGATAGACAACCCCAACACTGGAGTCTGTTGGAGTGGGGCAGCTATAGATTCTGAAGGCCTAACTGTAGGCATGTTTGTCCATGTCCAGACAGCAGACAGACTTTACCAGCCATAATTTAATAGGATCTTTAACCAGGCAACTAAAAGAGGGCAGAAAGGTATAAAAGAAACCAGTTACCAACAGAGGTAGCCCCTGTGTGAAACCAGTCCTGTTCCTGGATGTATTGAATGTTAGATGTTTGCAGAAGGGAGATAATGGGGTGAAGCTCAGACTTCCTGAGGTGGGGACTGGGTGTGCTCAGCTTGTATTGCTGCTGACTTGTGCTGAGGAGAGCCCCTGCAGGGAACACATCCTTACCTCTTAGTAGGGGGGTCTTTGTTCATTTGGCACCACTAAGACACATCCATGAGACTGGTTCAGTTGAGTGTTAGAAACCCAAAAACTGGATTAAATAATCCTGGAAGGCATTGCCACTGGCTGGCTAACAGAAAGGGATGTGAGGAAAGCTGACATAGGCAGAATGGAGTCAGCAGAAACCAACAGGATGCTAGTGAGTTTCTTCATCCCCTCTAACCATGCAGACTCTTGCTAGTACCCTCTCTGAACAGAGTTTAGGGGGCATAAGAAGAGATGTGGTTGGCTGATTCCCAACCCTAGCATCTCCGAGACATATGAGAGAATGATTTTTGAAGCCAGCAGAAAATTAGCTTAGTAACTGACAGTGGGATGCTCCCTGTAGCACCTGAATCTGGTATTGGAGAGCTTTTTTCCCCCTTGGAGGTTGTGGTGGTTTGAATATGCTTGGTCCAGGGAGTGGCACTATTAGGAAGTGTGGCCTTGTTGGAGGAAGTGTGTCACTGTTGAGGTGGGCTTTGAGACCTTCCTTCTAACTTCCTGGAAGTTTGTCTTCCTAGCTGCTTTCGGCATGAGAGATAGAACTCTCAGTTCCTTCAGTGTCATGCCTGCCTGGATGCTGCCATTCTTCCTGCCACAGTGATAATGGACTGAACCTCTGAACCTGTAAGCCCTCCCCAATTGAATGGCGTCCTTATAAGAGTTGACTTGGTCATAGTGTCTGTCCACAGCAGTAAAATCCTAACTAAGAATTTGGTTCCTGGAGATGGGTATTGCTGTGGTAGGCCTGACCATGTTTTTCTTTGGGAGAATGTGGATTTGAGGACATTGGATTTGGAAAGCCATGGAATGCTTTTTTTGTTTGTTTTTGTTTTTCAAGACAGGGTTTCTCTGTGTAGTCCTGGCTGTCCTGGAACTCACTCTGTAGACCAGGCTGGCCTCGAACTCAGAAATTTGCCTGCCTCTGCCTCCCAAGTGCTGGGATTAAAGGCATGTGACACCACTGCCCAGCAACCAAATGCTTTTAAGTGGGGCTAAATGGACCATCCTGTTAGGAATATGGAAGACAGTGATGCTGAGTGTGATTTGAATTGTATAGGCCTGCTGGCCCAAGAGGTTTCAATGGAGGAGAATGTTAGTATGTGGCCTAGAGACTGTTTTGTGATATTTTGGTGAAGAATATGGCTGATTTTTGCTGTTGTCTGAAGAGTCTGCCCGAAGTGAAGAGATTTAGATTAATTGTTTTTGCAAATGAAGTCTCAAAACAGCCTGGTATAAATTCTGTTGTGTAGTTACTAAAGTTCACGTTTATGATGAACATTTTAATGAAAAGGAACAAGCCGAGAAAGGAAAAATATAAAAAGTATCATTCAAGTAATAAAAGGGCACTAAGAAGTAAAATGGAGCTAAATCCTATGTTCAAGGAGATAAACAGATTAAAGGAGTGGTGACCTTGGGGTAAGATCCTACCCAGCTAAGTTTAGGTCCAAGCATGGTGGTACACACCTTTAATCCAAGGGGGGAGAGAGAGAGAGACAAACAGATCCCAGAGTTCAAGCTCAGTCTGGTATAGAGCAAGTTCCAAGTAGAGAAAAGCTTAAGTCCAGGTGTGGCGGTACATGCCTTTGATTTCAACATTCTGGAGAGAACCATGCAGATCTCTAAGTTCAAGTTCAACCACAGAGCAAGTTCTGGGACAGCCAAGCTTAGGCAGTGAATGAGTTGGAAAACAGAAAGCTGGTAGTAGAACAAGGGGGTTGGAGAGGGAGATATTCCAGCCCCAGCAAGCAGCAAAACCCAGCAGCTTCAGCCATGTGGCTCTGACTTTCGAGTCAAGAATAGAAGGGACTACTGGCATAACTGATGCTGGTTAGATGGAACTAAGAAATTAGTAGTGATTAAGAAGAGACCAGCATCACTGAGGTGCAATTTTCTGGGAAGTGTTTTCTGAGATCACAAAGAAGCTGTGTCCCAGAGATAGCCAATGTTGTACCTTATACTGAAGTTGGACTTGGTAATATGTAAGAATCACCCAGGTGGTACTGGTTTGAAGGTATGAAGGGGTCATGAAGAGTAGCTGAGGCTTGGCACTGTGAAATGCCAGGGAAGGCCACTGGTGAAGGTGCAGCCTCAGTTGCAGCTGACAACCCAGGAATGAAAGGATCATGCAAAGAAGCTGAGGTTTGGTACCACAAAGAGAGCCTATGAGAGGCTATTTCCTAGTTGCAGCAGAAGACCCTAGTGTATTAGAGATGCCAGTACCATGGGATGATCACCAAAACCAGCAGCAGCAGTGGAGTCAAGTCAAGCAGAGCCTAGAGTGCTAGAGAGGGCAGAGCTAGAGAAATGACCCAAGCCCTTTGAAGGAGCCCAGAAAATCATATGTGGATCCCAGACATTGGGATAAGAAGCTGTGAAGTTGAAGTTGAACTGGAGACTCCCAAGATGTTAAAGATGCCAGATCTGTGAAATACCTGCCAAGGAAAGCTGCTGTCAGAGAGTGGAACAACCAGCACAGGAGGAAGAAGTTTGTTGCAGTTAGCAAAGATGAAAAAGGAGATCTGAAGACTACTTTGACATCAGACATGGAGATGTAGTTTGGAGTTTTCCCAGCTGGTTTCCTGATTTGCTTTGGGGATTACAGTTAAGTGATTGGATGAATCTCAGAAAAGATTTTGAACTTTGGACTTCTAACACTGTTGAGACTGCTATAGACTATGG